ACCATCTCAGATAATTGACATGCAGTGTACATATTTATCTCGCATTTGCTTCAAACTAGATTTAATTCCAGGTTAGAGTTAGAATACTAAAAGTGTTAGAATTTCTAATATGAACCGATAAAATAAAAAGTCTTTTCCTCAAACTAAATGTGTTCATCAATCTATTTTTGCATCATGATTCTTTGATCCCACAGAATTCATAGTTTACAATATCTAAGGTCTACAAAGATAAAGGGATTAGAAATTAGAGTTTGTGGCAAACACTTAATTCCAATGCAAACTCATACTTTGGCCTAAAATAAAAACTAAAGGATCTACGAAGTCATAAAGTCGGATGAGTAATATTGCATAATTCTACCCTTTTCCTTCTGTCATATAGTTGAGTGCATGTTCTATTCAAGAATAAATGACACCAGCAAAGAATTTTCTTTCAAGTAGAATACGGTAAATGTTTGTATTTTACTCAAAAACACTAAATTTATTTAAATTTAAGTTTCCGTGTATTATTGAACATATATATATCTTGTAATATAGAAAATCTGTTTGTAAAAAATCACCATCATTAGGTCTTGAGAATTGATTCTTTTTATAGCCCATCAGGATTGAACAGTATGCGTTCAACTTCAAAAAGAGTAACTGAGTGTAAACGTTACCATGTTTAAATACTATCGATAGGACGAACAGTCCTTGGTCATTAATGAAAAGACGAACACATCGATGACATTTCTGGAACATCATTTAACGTGAGGAAGATATTCTATAGTCTGATGATTCATTAATCATATGATAGTGTAATTCTTGCTCTTGGCTCTACCAGCATAATTAGCTCTAGTTCTTTTTATCTCCGCTAGGTTCCTAGGTATGCAATGATGATAAAAGATTGATTAATGATTCAATCTGTCCGTAACTTCCGATACAAATATATATTTCAATGTTTTTGGCAAGTTCAATGGCAACTGCAGTTTTTTTTATTTTGGCACAATCTTCCTCTTTTTGCACTAATTCTGTCAATCACAAGGATACGAAATTAGTGTAAGAATATGTACATTGCAATGAAGTCTATTTTGACCGTCCTCTCTGGTGTTACGTAACACTACATTTCATAAGACTGGTATATATGGATATAGTTTGATATATATTTCAGCTTAATCAAGGTTGTTCATAAAGGTTAGATACTCTGGATGCGCTCCAATGTACAGAAAATGTCGTCTTCATAATAATGCTTATTGGAAGAAGCTGAAGTGACAACGTTGCTTGTGAGTCAAGGGGGTATAAGGATTTTTTTCTGCTTTTACAGCTGACAAGCATAGGAAATCCGTCCAACAAGCAGTTACGTCATATGAGTGTCCAATGCTATGAAGACGATATTTTCTGTACATTGGAGCGAATCCAAATCATCCAAAGTATCTAACATTTATAAACAACCTTGGTTAAGCTGAAATATCAATATCTATCTATACCAGAGTCTTATGAAATGTAGTGTTATAGTAACACCAGAGAGGACGGTCAAAATAGACTTCATTGCAATGTACATATTCTTACATTAATTTTGTATCCAATTATGTTTGACATAATTATTAAATTATGAACTTTTCTACTATATAAACTCCCCCCCCCCCCCC